GGCCGCGTCACGCGGCGTCTGAGGGGCGGCGGCGCGGGGTGGCCGTGGTTCTGACGAGTCCGCGGCGCCGGCAGCGGCAGAGCGGGGTAACCGCGCCGAACCGCCCGTGACTGGTCGCGGCGAAGATCGGGGCTGGCCAGGAGACGTGCTGAAACGCGCGTGTTGGACTTGGGGCTAACGCCATAGCACGTAGGTGGTGTCCTCTTCATTATTTTTACTTCTTAAAATGCCTGAAAAAGCAGCGGGGTGTTGGAGTGGTAGGTGCAGTACGAGAACAGAAAATGGGGAGCTGTGTCAACTTTGGATATTAGGAGGAATTTCTTCACAGAAAGGGCGATTAGATCTTGGAAGGGGCTGCCCGGGGAGGTGGTGGAGTCACCGTCCCTGGTGGTGCTTAAGGAAAAGCTGGACATGGCACTCAGTGCCACGGTCTGGTTGTCGTGGTAATGTTCGGTCATAGGCTGGACTCGATGATCTCAGCGGTCTTTTCCAACTTAATCGATTCTGTGCTTAGCTGGATGAAGAGCACATGGGGTTGGAGAAGCAGTTCCAGAGGACCGCCAGCCATGCTGCCCATTGCCCCAATATATTGTCTTCGCATGATCCTGCATATGTTGTCTTACTTCAAACGATCTGTGGGTTCCATGTATGAGTTAGGCATATTTTGGTTTAGCTTTTATAATTTGCTTAAGTCTGTGTAGCTGCTCATGCAAACTGCATATTGCTGGAGGTGTCATACAGCTTCCAGACTTCTAAATGGTGACTTAGCAAGCAAAGTTAAGCACTGGAAACATGAAAGTTACCCTGAGAGTAATTAATAGGATACTCTACAACTAAGTGTTCATTACTGTGCTTTGAAATAAGCATGTGTGAGGTCTGCAGAGCTTTAGAGCTACAGATTATACCTGTGCTTTATGTTTTGGGCTCAATAACCATTGACTCCTACAACAGCATGCTTCATCAGTATGGTAGCGATTGGAATAATTCCAGCTATTAACAATAAATTACACTTGAAAAGCTAGAATCAGCCCTCTCTTATTCTCTAATTAGAAATATGTTATCAGCATAAAAAAAAAAAATAGAGCATGTAAAAATGCCTGTGTTCTGAGTAGTGATAGGTTACAATGTGTGATTTCTCAGCGCCAGGCGCTGAAGATGTGTATAGATTTGGTTCTGAACTAAGTTTTGGATTATTAGTTAAGACATTTAGGGCAAAGCAGGTATTTCCTTGTGGCTGCCTAGAAGTGTTCAAAGTTGTGTTCGGTGAAAGTTTTAATCCAGTCATTAGGTACTTAGGATAGGTTTGCTTAGTTTAGCGATCTCAGGACTTCTGCTGTGTGGTCTCAGAGGCTTGAAGTAATTCACAGCTAGTCAGGCCAAAACATTCTACGCATAATGTTAAGCAGTCTAAAGGGGTGTAGGTAATATTCGGGGGTCATTTTGGAATTAACTAATTATTTTTCTGGTTTTAGGTGTCTATTCTAGGGAGAGGAAATTGGGTTCCCAACCAAACGCAACTGGGTTCATGCAAACTTAAGTAGTGCATCTGTAAGAAAAATATGGACTTGGGATCACATTCCACTTTAAATGGTAAGTAGTTACTGAACAGTCATTAAATTAAATTAATACAAAATGTCTGCAATGTGAAAAGAGTTCACATTTATGTCCAAAGGTGAAAACTTCTTGCTCAAGAACTTAAGACATTAAGTTATATACATAAGGTGTAAACCTTAAAGAATGAGATTTGCTAACTTGAAAGATTGGTGTATTCAAAAGTGATCCCAGTATATAACGATGGAGAATTTAATTTTTCATCTTCACATTAATGTAAGCTTTTCATTCTCCTCCTGGTAAGGCAAAGTCTACAGATGTGGACAGAGGTGACAATATATGCATTAAAACTGGAGCTGAAATAACACAAGAACACTGAATATTTTTAATGTAGAAATTTAGTAGCTAATTTGTGATCTTTGAAGAATTGATAATACTGCTTAAATTAGTTTTAACAGTGGTTTACACAGGTAAGGTATTACAATTTTTTTAAGACTCATTCAAAACATCCTGCATCGGCTCTCATTCCAGTTGCAGACTATAGATTTATTAGTTTACCATTCTATATTTCCAGAGGGGTTGCCTAGGAACAGTTTCCCCATGAACCTCATTAATTTTAACTTGTGACACCTTCAATGTCTGGCCACCTTTTTATCTCACCAAAAATCAGTCCAATTCAAGCCTTGAGGAAATAACAAATATTTTATACCCTGCCTCTCCCCTGTTAATAATTGAAAATGGTAACATGTTATAATAAACCCAATAGGAACTTGACTTCTAAAGGCACCATTTAAAAAAAATCCAATTGGACTTTTTTTTAATACAAGACAGAGCTATTCTGATTTTTTTAGTAATGTTTCATCCATAGTTGCCTATTTTTTTCACCCCCTTCATGAATGGTGAACAGAGTTTGACCCAATGCTACACAATGTTTTGATTTCGTCTGTGGCAGGGCAGCACAGATCAGACTGTTCAGGGAGACAAAATATAAACTCCCTCAGCAGGATCAGCTGGGGCATATTTGTGGCGTACCAGATCACACTTCTTTGCCTTATCTTGAAAGCTGATTGTGATACCAGGTTTTCAAAACAAGTAGAGCAAGACTTTGGGCTGAAATTGAGAAGAATAGATGAATTAAATTGTAAATGAACATGTGAGTTGAACCACTCACTGTTTATGTGATAATATTAGGAAAAATGCATTACATGAACCATATTCTTCAGTTGGTTCGCATTGGCATGGAAAATCCTTGTTAAACATTAAATCAGAAGAGCATTTGTGACCTCATCTTGTATAAGTTATACATGAAAATATATTGTTCTGAGCGAACATATTTTTATTAAGTAGTCGTAGCCATACAATAATATGGTCCAGTTTGAGGCTTAACTTTATGGGGTTAAATTTAGAATTTCGCCTGCAGTTTTTCCATCCTTTTCTGGTGGAAACAGCTGTGTATGCACAGCGTGGCATGATGCACCTGTGGCTGCAGGTCTCCCATTGTAGCTGAAACCTTGGCTCTGCCGCGGTCACCTCGCCCCGCTCGTTACCGTGGAGATGCAGTCGCAGGGAATACGGTGGCTTTGGAAACGCCGTCTCCAGGCTGCGGCGGGCTCGGGGCGGGCGCGGCCATCGCGACGCTGCGCGGGGGTGAAACCGAAAGTGCGGGGCCGGGGCGGGCCCGCGCTCCCCCCGCCCCGCTCCGCTCCGCTCCGCTCCTCCCTCCCATGAGCGCCCGAGCCTCCCGGCCTCAGCATGTCGGAGAGTTTCAACCGAACGCCGGGTGCCGGCCGGGG